CTGGCGGATGCAAGGTCTGGCCCCGTGTTGTGCAACGGTAGAGCGCAGCAACAGCGTCGTGATCACCAGTAAGAGCAACAGCAACCACAAAGATGCAACCACGGTGGGCACGACATGGTTGAATCATCACCATCACCATAAGAAGCATGGCTCTAAAGCAGCACCTGGTGTTCGTGTTGCTACATGTACCATACAGGCGGATGGTGCTTCAGGCGCCATGGTTCAACACATGGAACGGAGTTATCAAGAACTTGCGCCGGTTTGATCGAGAACAGGTCAGGATTATAAGGCGCCAGGTCTGACTGTGCATGCCAATCATGCCTTGCCCGGAATCCCGAACGAACTCCCACAGCTGCAAAAGCCCTGCGGCCAAGCTGCCCCTGCCTCCAAAGCTACAAAACTTCACAAGCACTCCGCTATCTCATGACATGAAAACTGCGGGATCTGTCCAGGCACCCTGGAAGCCAAATCTCGAAAGTGTGCACGCCGATCGTCGGTCTCACCCTGCCCTCCCCAAACAGTTGCCATCAACTGGCCGGAACAACCCAGGAAGCCTCTATAAACCCGAAACCTGGAATTGACCGGAAGATGAACCACGTGCGCACCTCTTCTGTAGCTTCGAGGCCCTCCGTTCAGGCGGACATGATTATTGATCGAATTTAGGGGCGCAGGGTTTAAAGCTCTATGCCTACACGCAGACTGCATCAGGCATCGTGGTTCATCTCTGCGCAGGTATGGGCTCACTATACGCGCCTCATCTTCATCTGTGGTGGCTCCGGTGCCAGCTCGGTGCTGTCTGAAATCTTGCACCTTGCACTGTCTTGGCTGATCCCTGGTTCCAGAGGCTCGTGATGTGGTAGCCAGCCCTGCATACGTAGATATACACAGACAAGACTGTCGCACCCGAGGAACGGTTTTCTTGGAATTGCACTGTTACTGCTCTTCCACCCCGTATTGCTGGTGTGCGTACACCTGTCTGAAGTAGTAGCTATAACTCAGGCGTCCCCAGGTAGACTAAACTGATTACACTATTATTGCAGTTGCATTAACAGTCGCAGCCAAGAAATAATCCTAATTGCCCGAGCCCTGGGTGAAAACCCTGAACCGAGCGCAGCCCCACCGGCCACCGGCCTGGGCCCAGCCATCCTGGCAGACAGGCACTTGGCAGCTTCTGCAAACCTGGGCTCCCTTCTGAAGGGTAAGTCTCCCTGGGTTTGGGATGTAAGTTCAGGATATCGAGTCGATGGAGCGCCAGGGCAAAAGAGATATGAATAGGATTCTGGCCGAAGCAAATGAAACAAAAAAGATCCTCATTGTCCATGAGCTTGATCTTCGAGACCATCACCATGGTCTCAGGCGTGGCGGCCGCCGCGGGGGACCTTGGTTTTCTGGGGCTTCGTCAGGGGAGCAAGTGCAAGGAGCCGTAGGTCGGGGGAGACCCCTTCCGGTTTTCTACGTCTTAGCTTCTTAAGGCTTGCTGAAGTAGTGTATTATAAGGGGTAGGGTTTAGGGTTTAGGTATAAGGGGTACTTACAATTACGACATACTATGATGGCACAATGCCGACGACATCTCACACCTCGCTACCCGGGGCCAGTCTCTAGGCGGCTCCGGAGTCCGGGCTTTGAGACCAGAAACGAACCTCGCTTCAACGTTAGGATTACGTGCGCTCGACGTTCAAAGCACTTTGGCAAAAGGTTGCATTCAGTGAGGCGTGCCGCGGCCAGAGCAGCAACAGCAGCAACAACGAAGGCTGAAACATGTGCAGTAATGACTAATGAGCAGGATTGCGGTCATGGTTCGAGGAAGAACAAATATTTCATCATAGTGCCGTGGCTTCGGTGTACGGCTTCCAGGTAGGTGGTGCGGTGCATGTTCGGACTGAGCTCTTCGGGCTGCGACGCCAAACTAGATGCAGACACAGACGAATAGCTCACAACGACAGCGACAACAGGGAGGAAAGACAAAAACGACAACCACCACGAATCGGCAGCACCAACGACGACGACAACCAACAACCATAACAACATAATCAACGCCAACAGCAGCAGCACCACAATATGCAGCAGCAACAAGAAGACCAAGAGAACCGAGAACCTTCACGCCGCTCCCAGTTTCATGCTAGGAACTCAATTTTCTTGACACTCTCTGTGCTGAGTCCGGCACGGGCGTCCCCGGAAGCGACTAAATACCATGCTGCTCCTGAGCAGGACGCTAACTCGGAGCATAAGAGTTGGGATCTTGGGTGGAACAAGCTACAGCCGAGAGAAGCTGTGAAAGCAACAATCAACCGCCGTCGTGAAGGCCTCTCTGAAAAACAGGAAGCCCGAAACCCCAAACCCCAAACCGCTTTAACCCCAAGGTGTCCCCAAACCATAAACCCTCAACCCTACATCCCGGACCATTAACCCAAACCCCAGTCACTCCGGTCGGCAGTTTAAGGCTTGAGGGGCTCGAGGCCTGGGATTCGTGGCTTAAGGTGCGGGTCCTATGGGAGATACTGAGGCGTCGTGTTTAGGTTGCTATAAGGCAGTATAGCGAAAGGTTACTGTGAGGGTCGCTAGAAGCTCGCGAGGAGGTCGAAATCCCAAAGCATCGAAACGACAGAAGTGAGTGCGAACTGTGAGCCCAACCCAGCTGCCATCGAGGTACCTTTGCTTGGCCGCAGTGCTTTTCGGCCGGAACAACTCGTGGACCCCATGCACAGCTTGAGCACGAATGGAAACACACAGAAGTCTCCGGGCAATGCACAACATCAGATTTGGACCTGGATTCGGTCTCGTACTGCGCTCGGGGCTTCGGGGGATTGTGGGCTTGAGAAAGCTGTGGGGTCTCGAAAGGGCGATTCGTGGCTTTGGGCTCCGAGTTTGCTCTTTTGCTCCCCTTGCCGCCATCCTTGCCGCAGGTGAGAATGCTGACTCTTGCCAAGCGCTTTATGCGCTTTCACGCACTGCGACCTACAACCCCTCCGAACCCTAAGTCCTAACCCGCATCTAGTCTTGGTCTGTTTAACTTTACCGGACGCCCTACTGAACCAAAACCCTCGGAAACTCCCACACATTAAACCCATAAGCCATAAAACCTGAAGCCTACACCCCCATGCTCTAGACCCTATCTTCAAAAACACGTAAAGCCTAATCCACAAAACCTCCCACCGAAAGCGATGCCCAGCGTGAATTTCTACTCCGTGAAGCTTTTGATGGGGCTTGAGGTCTAGCTTTAGGAGTTCAGGTGCTGTGTAATTATGTGTCAGTCTTGGGGTTATGGCATGCTATACAGTGTTGTACCTCCAATATACTGACGAACCGCAAGGGGGCTTCCAGGATGCATGTTTGAAGGCCTGGAACAGTGCGGGGACGACCTTACGACAACACCAACCTCGACAGGCCCGAACCCACAGAGCCCGCCCAGAGCCGTAACATGGGGGTGCCGAAACGTGTAGAGAAAGTGTTTGCGGTAGATCATACGATACTTACGATGCGGAACCCTCGAAAGCATGAGGACTTATGGGGCTCAAAAGAAGGGCAGGGCTGCCTTCATCTTTGCCCTAACACCCGAAACTTGAAGCCTCGGACTTTAACTTAGGCCCACGGCGTCTACGGTTGGGAGTTTGGGTTTGGGTTTAGGTTTAGGCCAATAAAGGCTGTAAGGGAAGCTTTGACAAACCTGGCTGAAAAATGGAGATAAACCTGCAAGACACTACTCCGGTCATGAAGGAATAACCGTCAGCATGACCATCATCACAAGTAGTAAGGAAAGCAGTGGCAAGAATGATTAACCAACAAAGCACCGTCAAGAGTAGACGTTCAACCAACTTGCCCGAACCCTTAACCTACCTAAGCCCTAATTTCAAACTTCCCTGAATTACAGACTTCCTAACTCCTAAAACCACCCACTTCGCTGACCCGCGGCTGCTTTGCAGCGCGAGCATCCTGCGAGGGGTGGTGGTGACAACCGCTACGAAAAGGCCGCAAACCATCTCCTCCTTGGTCTTTTTGTTTGGGTTTCTGGGCTGAGTTGTCCTTCGGGATGTCTGAGGGAGACTTGCGCGTGATGTTGGGCGTTGGGGCTATCCGCCCTGGCGACATGGTCCATGCGGCCCCTCCGATTCTACTGGGAACTACTCCTATGCCCAAACTCGGAAAGGAGCAACAATGACGAAGGCCGAAAACCGTCGAGCAGAGGCAACAGCTTTGCATGCTAGTCCTTGCAAGTCTTCATCTGCCTTGTCGTGCCACAAACGGGGCACTTAATGCACGAATCTTTGTCCATGCCAGGCACCTAAGCATTGGGATCCACGGGCTCATAGGGCTCTTCCACTCTGCGAGTAAGCGGGTGCTCCCCGAAAGCCCTCAAAATTTCGGAGCCCCAACCCCGAGCCTTTGAGCCCACGGAGCCCGTAGAACCCGTCTCCGGACATCGTTCACTCCTTTGAGCGACCCACTTTGGGTGCGCTTCGTGAGCCAACGGAAACATTGCGATCGTCCAGGAAATCCACCTCGGGCACATCGGGATTTACGGCTTTGTGGCTCCGGTTCGGGGTTTGGAGTTTAGGCTTTATGGGGTCTAATCGGTTGTGTTGTTACAGATGGTACTACGAGCTTCTTCGGATCCTTGTTGTGCTCTGCGCCGGAGCTTGACAACACAACTTTGAGCCACCGGACACCCTAAAGGCCGCACCAGTCAATTTTACGGGTTTAGGGTTTGGGTTTAAGTTGGCCCGGGGTTTTAGAGTCAACCTCTGAACCCCAAACCCGCAAGCCTTACTCTAACCGTAGAAGTAAAGACTCTCGAAGGAGTGGAAGCTTTCTGAGCCTTGCAAAACTAAAATCTCGCGGCCAGGCACTTCCTAAACCAACGAAACACGGAAGGCCATTGCAACACCCTGAACCCCTTAACCCTAACCTCAGGACTCAGAAAGAAATAGGCCAAACCTAACACTAAACCCTACAACTGAAGACCTCTTAAACCTTTGAGCTGCTAAGCCTTTAAGCCTTCAAAAGCCTCGCGACAAAAGCTGAAGCCAAAGCGCCCATACGCCCCCAGACATCAACTCCTGGAGTTCCTCAGCGATGTCCCCTTCGCTGTAGCCGTTGTCGCGCACCTTTCTCAAATGGGCGTGTAGGGTATAGGTCTTCGGGGTTGACTCTGAACCCCTATAGCAACCCTGAGCCGGTAAATTGATCTCCATAGGGAGGTGTGGGGGGTTCGGCGCTTCGGGCTTTGAGGCTTTGGACTTCGTGAGTCTGCCGGTTTCAGAAGCTGTATGGGTGGATTAGGGCTCGTGGCACTGTGCACACGCAGGTACCAGGTGTCAGGGGATGTTCAAAGGCACAGGGTTCTGAGATACGTTGCTGCGTGAGCTTAGGCTTCAAGCTTTTCCGATGGAGCCTGAAGGCTGAACTCTTGCACACTCACCCTCTAACCAGTACCAAGCGTCTGAATGGTTGGACTGGAAAAAAAGTCCGATAACAGTCTCTAATGTAGGGGCCACAATAATTAGAATAGGATTTTGGGGTATATTACACTATAATTATAATAGGGACCCCCCCCAAAAAAAAAAATAGTCAAATAGTATAGGTAATTCTTTTTAAGCCCCTGTAGTAGAGTCGTGAAGCCCCCGACCCCCAAGATCCTCACAATCCTCCCAGCCTGCTGCCAGAAATGACGCCACTCCGACGGCAGGATCTCCCCGTCGTTGTTCTCATCCACCTCCAGGGCTTTGGGGGGCTCTAAACGGGCCCTGCCGGTTTCGTGCCAGCTTAGATGATCAAGTCACTTAAAACTTGGTATGTGCAAGGCTTGAATGTGCGTCGAGGACTGCACGGGACAGGAAATCTGGCATTACCCAAAGCCCAAACCCTCAAGCCTCAACCCCGAAACCCCTACCTCACCCGAAGACCCAAACCCGAAGGAGATAACCCTCAACCTTACACCCTCCGGGCTCCACGATCCTCCCTGCTCCTTGGATCGCCCTGTCTAAGGGTTTCGGGATTTGGGCCCCAGCCTCCGAAAACATGGCAGACGCGCTGATTTTGCCTTGGTGTCTCAGAGACTGGCTACTGGGGATCACAAGCCAGTTAATTATGGAGGAAGGCCAGTGCAACAGGAATTGCTCCTACCGGCCCATAGTACCAGGCTAACATGGGTCTTTGCCGCCAGCCCTCCTAAACTCCCCAGCACTCGTGGAAACCGTCACAGGAAAATTCAGAAGCTGCGATTCCAATCGGTCACCCTCAAGCCCTGGATCCCGAAACCCTGAACGTCGCAGATGTCCGAACTCTCTACACCCTAAACCCTGAAACCTAAACCCCGATAGAATCCTATAGAGCCTAATAACAACCCCTAAACCCTGAACCCAGCCAGGCCGCCGAATCGGCTGAAGAAGTTCTGGGCCTCAGCCTTGGTAAGGCGCCTCGGGAGTCAAATTTGGCACTTGGGCTCGGAGCGATTTCGGCGATTCGGCTTTAGGGCTTAGTGTTTAGGGTTAGAGTTTAGGGGGGGCTTAAGAATTAGAGCTTAATGTCTTAAGTTTCGTTTCGGTGACACGCAGAGGGTGCTCAAAAGATGAAGGAAGAACGCACGAACGAGCGAGCGAACCCCGCCACCCCAACTTCTTCGCCCGAGCATCCAAATCATCTTCCCGGAACCGGTACGTGAGCAAAACTGACCAAACCCATGCGCGAGCTACGGACAACATCAGTACAAGGGTGGCTGTGGCGACTCAGCGCCGAACGCTGTTCCTAAGCCAAGCCCTAAGCAAAAGCTTGAGGAAACCCTCGGAAACTCCTGATGCCATGCCCTGAGCCGGTGGCCCATCCGCGTTCTCGTCCATCTTCTGGTAGAGGGCCTCCACTTTTCGGAGAATCCTCGTGGAAGTCTGAGCTGAGGTTGAGAATTCAACCCTAAACCCTAAACTCGGTGTGAGCTACCCACATTTGCATGTAGCCAGGTCCCGGTAGGGGGCTTGGGCTCTCGAACCACTTTTGTGGCCCAGGGACGTCCGTTTACTCTAGGGGTCTGAATAATGGGTGTATGGAATATCCTTACAGTCCACATACGCGCATGCGTTCATATACACCGAAACACGGTATTAAGTAATGAGGCCCTGTCAGAACCCACCCCAAAAAACAAACTTAAAACCCCATCATCAAGCCAGTAAAACATCCTATCACACCCTATAACAACCGGACAAAAACCCCAAATGAATCCTTAAAATACCCTACACCACCCCAGCAGCCCGACACACCTGCTGGGCCGGGCACTATGTTCAGAGCGTTTGCTGGGGCGCCGGCCACGGGGAGAGGTTGCAATCCTGCACGGAGGAAGGGGCAATGAGGGGCTCAGCCCCGTAGATGAGACCACAACATAAGGATTACAGGCTTGACTCGAGACGGACAATGCACTTGGTGAACACCTGCCGCTGAACTGCCAGGGCTTACACCCTCACCCTCACCCACAAGAACTATTCGAAGCCAGACGAAGCCACGTTCCCAGAACTTGCACGTCCCTTCAGCTCCGCGTACATCCGATTCAGCAAAACCGATGCATCATCAGCAAAAGCGGTACATGATAGTACATGTCCAAAGGACTCCCTGAATGGACTCCAGTCCATAAGCCCGACACCACGAATCACAAAGGACGAGAACTGCCGCTGAGCCAGCTTTTCTGTTAATGCTGCCATTATGCCGGTGCTGCTGCGGCTCATACTCCATCCTGACTACTTCCTTCAACCCTTCTCAAAGCCTCCGAATCCCAATCTGCACCCCGAAGCCGGCTCTCACATGTTCGAAACTCGGAACCCCGAAACTCAGCCTGCCAGACCCTGAACGACACAAAGCTTCAGGATTCCAGAGATTGGGTTCGAGGACCCTCAGCACCGAGCCCCACAATGCCAACGCGCTTTGATCCCCAAACCACAGACCTTTCAACCTCTATAAAACCCTAAACCCTCAATCTTACAGGATCCAGTATAGGAATCCTTAAAGAACCCTTGCCCTTGCGAGCCTTGGGCTCGATTCGCCCTGCCTCAGGCCTCTGGTTGAGACGGCTCGGAATCTAGCGCTCCGGGTTTGGAGGGTCGGGGTGAAGTTGTGGGCTTTCGTTTGGCATGCAGGGCTTCTGCCCGTTGCAACCACAACTGCCTTAGACTATTGCCGCGACTTGCTGCATTGCTGTATTGCGGCTGTTACATTCGCAGAGAGTTTCGACGACGACGACGACGACGACCACGACCACGATACCTCGGGTGGCTGCTAGGTTCCTGACATACAACCACCGCGGCACCATGTGATTCCAGCTGCTGTTGGCAATGTTGGCTCTGTTACGACGTTGTTCTGATTGTCGTCACTAGCAGTCACTAGCACACTCTCTGTCACCGTACTACTGGCAGCCTTCATGCGAGCTACTGTAAAGCACAGCTCGAGACTGTACACCACCAAGATACAAAAGAATCGCGAATCTGAGGGGCCAGCGGCATGTACCCGTGGCGGCTATTCCCGCTCAAGCTCCTGGCGCTTTGTGCAGCCGCAATCCTTTGTGCTGTTGCGGAACCCCGGAGAAACCTGACCTACAAGCGTGCGAGCCAGAAACAGCGTACTTGGCTTGCACTACTATTTCTGCCACCACGGCACTGTCAGCGGCTTGTGACTTCTTGTATGACTGCCGTTTATGAATATCCTGCTACTGATGATGATGATGATGAGGAGGAGCGAAGGAGCTCGAGACGAGAATGCGGACTTTGTGTCGATAGGAATGCTGACGAGGAAGATCCATGGGGTCGCACCACTGACTGATGTTACGGTCGCGGGGCCCCTGTACACGTAACAAAACACGAGCGTTCGGTTCACGTCATTCGACGATTCCTTGGGGTCACACCACTGACTGGCGTTGCAGTCGTGGGGTCCCCGTACACGCAACCATGGCGATGGCTCCTGCTGCTCCTCCTCCTCCTCATCATCATCCTCATCATCCTCATCATCCTCATCCTCCTCATCCTCATCATCATCATCACCATCACCATCACCAGCATCATCATCAATCCTCACCCGCACCACGGTCACCACCATCATTATCATCATCGTCATCGTCACCATTATCACGGCCATCGGCAACATGCCAACCAACTGCCGACCGCGTGCATTCCTTCATCCATCTATCGCACGTCGTTTGTCTCATTGTCGTGTGGTGACGTCACGACCTAGGACCCAGGCCCACCGGCCCTTAGCCTAAGCTGGGTCTAAACTCCTAAATGCTTAAGCCTAAACTTTACACCCTGCACATTGGGGCAAGCGGCTCACGACGCTGCTCCGAGAGCTCTGCGACCTGGCAGGAACGTTGCATCAGGACTCATAGACGTAGCTTTTGGCTTTCGGTGCTCTCGTTCCAGGGGCTTTCATTTTAATTGTGCAGCACCATCTCCGAAGAGCGAACCTTGGGCGCGAAGGGGGCTTTCAGTTTCGGGCCTGGGATTCATCTTCTATGCTGCGGCTCAAGGCCTCATGCCTGAGCAAAATCCTTTGCCCTCATGCCGTCAGCTCCGTCGCTGGTCCCTGTACGTAGGTTTAGCATGCATGTCCTCCACCGGCAAACATACTTTCCTCCAGAGTCGAAGCCAGACTCCGAGCCCGAGCAAGCCAAATCCCGACAACCTGAACCCGACCAGCCCTTCCCAAAAAGGAAACAAAGGGAGTGCCGTGGAGGTGTCAACGCGGCTGCACTCTGAAAGACAAGCCGGGCAAGCCGGTGTTCCCATCCGGATAGACCCATTACCATCCTGCGGATGCTGCAGGGGTTTCTAGGGAGCTTTACAGGCCGCTTCAGGATCTGTAAGCATCTCGCCGGGTACGCCATAAGAGGTTGGGTTTAGGTTTGGGGCTTTTTTGGTGAATCAGGCTAAAAACACTAAAAAACACTAAAACCGAAAAAAAAAAAAAAAAAAAAACCTTCAAAAGCCTCAACCCCAAAAAGCCCTTCAAAACCCCCTAGACCCTATAAATCGTAAGAGCAGAGCCAGCTTTCTCCTGGCTGCTGCCGTTGAAGCGCAGCGACTTCAGGCTCGACCTTGATCTTCTCAGCTCACTACATCGGCGTACTTAGGAGGGGTACTGGGGTTGGGGTTTTGGGTTTAGGCTT